GGGGGGAGGGAGGGACTGTCTTTTCTGGGTCCAAATTTCAGCTCTGTCACTTATATTCAAGCACATGACCTTGAATGAGTGACTGGAGAAGGTAGGTTACCAGGACCTTTTTCTAGTGAGGATTTAATGAAATGTATCTGTGATGAGTTAGGGCAGTACTTCACACATAATAAACGTTCAGAAAATGGCATCTACTGTCCTGCTATCATTCCTGTTGTGAACTTGTGTGGAGGACTTCCCAGTGCACTGGCTTTGCACTAAGGAGACATGTCCTGATGAGGACACTCACCTGCAGAGAAAATAGGAAAGAAAACATTGCCATAGTCACATTGACTACACAAGGCTATAGGATCTTAGTGGTGAGCTGGAGACAGCAGTGGTGAGCTGGTGCGGCAGAGGGAGGTAGGAAAGTATTTGAGACAGAAGGGGCTGTGTGTAAAGGCTTAGATGCATGAATCAAGCCTCAGGGTAATGCCACTGTGCTGGGGGGTCCTTGGGATGGGAATGTGAAATAAGAATGGAGATAAAAGGTGGAGCCAGTTTCCAAACAGCCTTCTGGGGAGAAATATTTCAAACATTTTTAAAAAATAGAAACAATGGTATAATAAACCCCCACATACCCACCATCCAGCTTCAATAACAGTTGAACAGCTTCAACAACAGCTTCACTAGTTGGCCAATTTTATTTCATCTATATACCCACACCCATGCTTGAGAGGGAGAGAGAAAGAGAAGCCTACTTTGAAGCAAACCCAAGACATCATGTAATTTCCTATAAAAGGATTTTAATGTTGAGAACAGCTTCTTTGATACAAATGGTGAATTAATGAGTTTGGGAGTCATTAATTCAGCTTATGACTTTCCCTCCTCAATCTGTTCTGGACATTCCTGTCCCTGGCAGAAAGTTTTGATAGAGGTCACACTGTGATGTTGAGGCACTGTATTAGAAAAAATATTTCTGAACCACAACCCTCAACAGATTTCACCAAGTCAGAATTACTTATCTCCACTACCTACGCTGAGACCATAGGCTAGTGATCATTTGCAAGCCTGACCAAAAGACAAATTGAATCCATAAGAAAAGTGAAAAATGTTAGATCTTTCCTTTCAGAGTTACCTGAATCATAAACTCATGGGAATAGAAGAATTAAAGTCGATGAAATCAGTGATTTGGAAATCATCACACCCAACAGCCAAAAGCCCAGACAGAGGGAAGAATTGGCCCAATGTTCCTTAGTGCTAAGACCACAGGCAAGACTTTTGACAGAGCTCTCTTTAGTTCACCTTTTTACCTAGAAGATTAAGCCTTAGAATTTCTCAATACAGAAGCCTGGGGTATCATTTCCTTCACCATCTCAAGGACACTGAAACGTAGAAAGGAATCTACGTTTCCTCAAGAGGAATGTCTTTCTTGATTCTCAAGAGGATGATAACATAGGGCACTTGAGCTTTCACCATGATGCATCTACTTTCCATATGCTATTGAAGAAAGCTGATGATAGCGGTACCTATATTTCCATCAATGTATGACTCTTCTGGCCAACCGCCTTGGTTCTCATTAGCAAAGGACTCTGCAGTCAGCCACCTAGACCTCATTTCTGCATTTCTGTGGATTTTTGCCCATCCCACTGGCCTTACTTACCTTTCCACATGTGCTCTGCACATGCTTTTGATTTAGATTGCCATTCTTTGAAGTGCTGAGTTAGCTGTGCCCAGGCCCTAGCCAGACTCAGAGTCCTCATGCTACTCTGGAGCCTGAGTCTCTCCTGTCATTGATGAAATGTGGTGGCCATGATGTGGGTGTCCTCTGATCAGACTCTGGGTACTTCAAAAGTCAGCATTTTCAGGGATGTTTTCTGCTTATAAAATGGAAAGGGAATTATCTCACAAGTTTCCCTAATTCTTAGGTGGACAAATTAAAACACATGTAAGGAGTTGTAAGCATGCCTGGTGATGGGGAATCAACAGCATACAGTCAATAAAATAGCCTTACCCCTGGGAGATTATAGGCAAGATGTAGGAAAGAGATAAAGCTGGTGAATTTCAGCTTAGGAAATTATCCCAGCCTTTTGTCTCAGATGAGACATATTTAGATATATTATATTACCTGGGTCTAGTTGAATTGTTATCAGTAGGCTCCCACAGGGACCTTGGTGAGCATCCCCTCCTCCTCCAGCACTTATTTATTGTCTGTGCCAGGCACTCTTCCAGGTGCTGAACAAGAAACCCTGATCCCTTCTCCCATGGGGCTTACACACAGTAGTAGACACAATTATTAATAACATTTTTTAAAGTAAATATGAAAACATTTAAGCAGAGAAACAGTAGGGGAGGTCTGTGTGAAATGGTGACATTGCACTGAGGCCCAAATAACAAGAGGTCATGCATGTGAGGATGTGGAGCTGAACATTCTAGGCACAGGAAATAGCTCTGAAAGGGACCCTAATGTGAGGCAGACCTGTTTGGGTGCAGGCAAGAAGCCATTGTGACTGGTGCAGAGTGAGCAGGGTGAGAGAAGCAGCAGAGGAGGCAGTGAAGGGACAGGGCCCGGACCACACAAAGCCTACTAGTCTCTGGTCAGGATTTAGGATTTAATTCTAAATACAATGGATTATCATTGGGTGGTTTTAAACAGGGGAGTGGTAAAAACTGGTGTGTACTTTTTATGATGCCTCAGTTGCTGCCTGGAGAATGGCTGATCTGGAGGTGCGAGGCTGGGCACAGTGGGGGCAGAGTGGGTAAGACTCTCCCCTTGTGGTGCTTAGCCTCTACCAGAGGAGATAGTAACGAGACAACAATAGCCCATGAGCAGGCTGTGAATGGGAGGAACACAGGGCACAAAGACAGTAAGTATTCACTCAGCTGGGAAGTATCCAGAAAGTCTGCCTGGAAGGGGCAATAAATAGCTGTTGAGGTGTACCTAGGAAAGGAAAGAGGCCAGTGCCTGGGCCATTACCCAGGACAGACAGAGATGCAACATAGCAGCAGTGGATGCAACATAGCCAGGCTCCCTGGGGTCAAATCCCAGCCGTGCCATTTAGCAGCTGCATGGACTTAGGCAATTTACTTACTTCTCCATATCTCAATGGCCTATCTTTGAAATGAAGATGATGAGAATCACAGCTTTTAAGGTGTTTCTGGGAGGATTGAACAAGTTAAAATTAATGAGGTGCTTAGACAGTGCCTGGTATTTACAAAGTGACAAGTGAGAGTTGGATAAATCAAAAGAGGGTGAGACGGGAATGGGAGAATAGGGAACACACACTAGAAAATGTCAAGCAGAGTCCAACTCTGAAGGACCTTTGAAGATCAGGCTGGAGGTGCCCGTGCCATTCTGTGCACAGGAAGAGCCAACAGCAGCTTTGCAGCAGGGAGCCAGGGGTTGAGAGTAAGGCCAGAGAGGGAGAGGGCCCGACCCACTGCCACCCAGTCAGTCCTCAGCAGGCACAGCCATCCCCACCCAGCTGACCCAGAATTGGAGGTAGGTGGAGATGGTATATATTTTGTTCCCTTATTGCATTCTCGGGGTTAAGAGAACATCTAGAATATTCTCAGTACGTATCGTGGAATACATTGCTGAATCAATGACTAAACAGAACAGGACAAGATCCTTAAATCTTCAAGAAGCTCAATGGGGAAACCACTCTCAGGAAAGTCAACCAATCTCCTAGAGGTGTTATCTTGAGGGTCACAAGGCCTTCCCAACCCCAGCTTGTGTGACTGAAGACACGACCACCTACACTCCCCCCCAGACAGCCCCCAAACCTGCAACCAGCATTGCTGCACAGAATTCTGAAGTTAATCTTGGTAAAGTGCCTGGAAGATGAAAAGCATTCCCCAGACACTCCTCATGGTAATTGCCAATGCAGAGAAAATATATCTCTACATTTGCAAGAGACAGGTCTTTGTGTTCCACAAAAACCAGCCATTAGAATTCCTGTCTCTGACTTGTCAGGAAGCTGTGACAGGCAGGCGGGCAAGTAGGGTCTCACAGTTCAAGCAGCAGATGGTAACAGACTCAGAAGCTCGGAGCCAGCTCTCACATTCCTGAACGCCTACTCCCAGCACTGAGCCAGGTGCTTCTCCAACCTGGAAAGAGCCATAGCCTGGCACTTGCTGTCTGGGTATCTTAGGCAAGACCCACCATTTACCTGAGCTTCAAGTTCACCATCTATAAACGGGAATAAACATGGCCCCACTGCCACCATGACTGGTCACCTTGCTTTTGACTCTGACAACAACCCTGGGGGGCTGAGTCATTATCCCACTTAGCAGTGTGGACTCTGAAGCTGAGGGAGCAGAATTCGTCAGTCCTCAGAGCCCCAGGGATGGTCCAGGCACTTGCTTTGGGAGCTGGAGGGGCCATGAGGAAGACTGACAAGACACAGCCTGTATATTCTTATGGAGCTCATGTCCCAGTGCAGAGAGGGGAAAAAAAGGAAGCAAAAAATAAAATTGTTTCACCAGGTTATACAGACGCCCAGAAGGAAATTTAAGAGTGTGGGGCAGGTGGGGTCCATTTATGTAAGGCAGTCAGGGGGACTCAAGGAAGAGCCCTTGACATTGATATCTGCACAGGGAGAAGCAGCTGGCCCGAGAGACAAGGGTCCCAGAACAAAGTGCAGAGGACCCGGAGCAGAAGTGAGCCTGACAAGGCCACAGAACAGAAACTGAGCGAGTGAGCGGAGGAAGGTAAAAGACAGGGGCAGAGCAGTTGATAGAAGCCAGAGCGGCAGAACCTTGAAGACCGTGTGAAGCGGAAGGGTGGCATAATCTAAATTGTAATCGAGACACTTCCCCCATCATCCCCCATAGGGACTAGATCGGGGAGCCCACATCAGAGCGGTCCACTGAGCCCCCCCTTTAGGCCTGCAATCCCTGCTGCCATTTCTTAAATGGGTCAGCCAGAGGGCAAGCAAAGTGATGGGCTCCCCTGCTGGGAAAGAAATCCATCACTAGCTGGCAGCCGGTGGGCACTGCAGTGCCTTGTGGGCAGCATCCTAATGCCATGAGGCAGGAGGGGGAGGGAGAAGGCCCAGAGGTGACCAGAGCTGAGTGAGGCACCAGCGTCAGGTAGAAAATATAAGGGACACTAACTAACATATTATCAAAGTAAATAATATTCTATGCAATCTCAAAAAAAAATTGAATGTAAACAAATCTATAATAAATCAAATGGCCAAAAGTTCACGTACAGACAGAATTCAAAATTGCCATGTCAAGACTGAGGGACAAGGGCATCCATGCTGATGCAGCATCTAATCCTGGGCCTGAGATGCTCGCTCCATGGCAAGTACCCTTCCTGGGTCCCCTTCCCACGGGCAACCAGCATCTGGAGCCCTTTACTTACGACCAGCCGAAAGTCAGACAGTTTCTCGTACAGGCCTCACAGGCCACTACCTACCTGAGCTGTGGAGACAGGACCAGGAGTGATGCCTGGTCTGCCACCCCGGGCAATTTCTAATGCCAAGTGGGCACTCCTTGTAGGCTATGGAACCCTGGGTAAGGTGCATTTCTTCTCAAGCCTCAAAATCCTCCCCTCTGTGGACTGGGAGGTTAATAAGATCTAGTCTCCAAAATCCAGCAACTGGACAATCAGGCCCTGACCAGCCAGACTACCCATGATGAGCCCAGGGATTTAGGCTCTGGTGGCTGGACTGTTTCCCCAGGCAGGTGGAGAGGACAAGAGGCTTCCATCCAGCTCCACCCTCCTGGGCTGCCCAATCAGAGGCAGAGAGCATGAAGCTGTCGTTGCCAAGGTGAGGGCTATGAGGTTGCTAGGACACAGTTTGGGAGCAGTCTGGTGGCAAGGGAGGCCTTGGCTGGGGCTGGCAGAGAGACCGGGACCTGCCTCAGGGATCTTCCTGGGGGCTGGGGAAGGACCTCCACCCCCCACAGGTGAGTCAGCCAACAGGAGGATTGATGCTCACAGACACTCCCTGCACCCCCACTCCATCCCATGGCTGCAGGAACCTCCCAAGCCAGAAGGCTGAGTCTGATTCTCCCTCCACCCCACACCTCATCAAGCACAATTCTGCCACCTAGTCCTCCCATCTGGCCACCCTGAGCCTCGACTCCTCTCCCTGCCTTCACACTCCCTCCTCATCCCTACCCCCACCTCCCCCCCCCCCCCAGAAGGCACCCTCTGGAGCACAAAGCCCAAACAGGTCTGGCCCTTTCAGGGTGAAGCCTACACCCCACTAAAGCCCCTCATAATTAACCTAACAATCTCCCAGTCCCACCTTTCTCTCTGAAGTGCCCTAATGTCTCCAAGGTCCTGAGCCAACCACATGCCTCCATGCCTTTACAGATGTTGTTCCTTCCACCTGAAAATTCCTTCCCATTCCACTGTCCTCTATGCCTCAGCTCCAGTCGCCTTCTCAGGGAAGCCTTCCCTTCTGCCTCCTGGCCTGCATTCGGGGGGAGGCCTCTTGGACCCCAACTACCTACCTTCCCATTTGTGTCCCCATTAGGCTATGACAGTAATAATCTCCTTCCTTGAGTAAGCCCTGAGGCCCCACTGTACAAGATCAAGACCTCTCAAGCCTCCTTGCCCCCTCCAGATGCTCCCAGGCTGATGGGAGCATCCGAGACTGTGGACCAGGAGGTTGACAGGAGCAGGTGGGAGTGGCGCCGCAACCCTGGGGTCTGTGTTGACAGCACTTGCCCACAACACAGTCTGCTCTCATGTATACGTGCTGAGTGGGCCCCTCTCTGGCAGTGGAAAACATAACTGTGCATGAGAGGGCTCTGAGCCACGAAGCCCCATTCAGGTATAAGTGGTAATAATTCTATTACTACTATTGATTCCCACAAGTCCCAAGACCTGAGTCATCCTGACACAGTCTTTTCTCACCCTCCATTCACTGAACAAAAGTTTATTAAATACCTAGTATGCAGCAGGCAAAGGTTTAGCTGTTTGGTCTCAGCAATATGTAGACATTAAACACTCTCTCATGACAGCCACCTGCCTGCCTTGCCTGCCTGAGGCCCAGCCTCCCAACCCAATGCCTGAAGCCGGGGAGGTGGCCTTTGGCACAAAGATGCCTGGTCCCTGGCTGCAGCAGGCACCACCCACATCACTTCTGCCCACCTCCTCACCTGCCAGCCAGCAACAGTAACAGCTGCCCTGCTAGTTTTAACTTCAACCATTGTCAGCCCCTGAAAGCTGCCCAATTTGCCGTGTTGTCACCAATATATAGGGCATGGCCTGGCACAGTCATTCACCCACTTATTTACTCATCCATTCACTCACTCAACAGCTATTTATTCATCAAGCCCTGCTAAGTAGCAGGTCAGGCTCTGGGATTCGGCAGGCCCTGCCTCTCAGCCCTACTCTGGTAGTGGGACCCAGGATGGTGGAGATATTAGTTGAGGCCAAGTGATTAGGAGCTGTGTCCTGAGGGTGCTGGGGGGAGGAGACCACCTCCCTGAAGGGTTAATGTGCTCATTTGTTGATTGATCTGTTGCGATCCCTGCTTCTCCACGAACCATCTCTGTGATCTGGGGCAGATCCCCCCTTCCCCTCTATTGATGACAATAGAGTCACAGAACTGTGGTTCTGCAAGGGAGACCGAAAAGAAGAGGTGAGTGGTTATATGCAAACCCCCACCAGCAAACACTGCGGCCCCTGCAGATGCCACGGCCTTGACACTAACCAAGGGGTGCCCTCCTGTGGCAGGGTGCAAAGGAAGAGCACTGTGGGCTCTCATGCAGCCCTTTGCTCTCCCCTGTGGGAAACTGACCCCATCATTCCCTGTGTCCACACCTGGGTTTTCATCTTCCGTTTAGGAGTAGAGCACCCACTAAACCTAACATTGGGGGAGCATGGCTAACACACTTGCCCAGCATGGCTCAGTCAAGAAATGTTGCCGAGGTACACACAGACTTTCTGTGAGGGTTTGTACGGGCTCTGCAGTCACTTAAGACCCCAAAGACCCCACCCTTGCCTTTAAGGAATGCTGACTTCCTCCTAGGAAAAAGGAGAAGAAGGTAAGTAAAATTTGAGGAGCTACAATGTAACAGATGCTTTTATAGACATCTTATTTACTGATAGCAACTGTTGGAGCCCAACCAGCAAGCTGGCCCACATGGCACAGCAGACCTCTCCTGTCACCTGCTGCTCACCTCAGCAGTGTGTTTCAGTAGATCTGCCTGTTCTACTATACCCTCTCTGGTGAATCCTGTCACACACACACACACACACACACACACACACACACACACACAGCACATCTGGTTGCATCCCAGTTCTTCTATGCAAAATTAAATAACTTTTTTTCAAATGTTACT